ATTTCAAGAGGGAAAGTAAAAGGCAGGCTTCCTCCCCCCCCCCCCCCCCATTTTGTCTTTCTCTGTCTTTAATACTTTCATCTCAAATGGCACTCTGTAGTTACAGTCACTGTCGCAATCTGGCTCATATGAACTTTATCTTTATTTTGTAAAATCTACCATAAGCAACCAAAGCTTTATCTTGATGATCAATCAGTTGCAGAAAGCGAGGAGGATTTCCCCATCAATTGTCCATCACCAGTAGATGGCTCACAAACCTCATTTATAAATCAAGAACAAAAAAAAAAAAAGAAGAAGTCATTATAGCTGTATTGACAGGAAGGAAAAAATCCAATATTTGTAGAAGCAGTACCTCTCCTAGGCCAACTGAGGATTTTGTAATTTTGCTCTACTGTATAAAGTTGTGTTGTAGCACTTAACTTATGCGAAGTCCATGCAGATTACTGCAGTGCTGATATTTACACAGCCTCTACAAGCAGCCCTATCGGGAGCAAGTTTTTTTCCAAGGAACACAGAATATTATAGTTGTGCGGGTGATGATAGAACAAGGGTGACAGGGAATGCAGAGCCCTTTCTCAGCCTGGATCCTGGTGGAGATTATGGGGTTTATAGTTCAACATATCTGGAGATGGCTGGAATGAAATGCTTGAAATCCTGAAAAGAAGCACTCTGTGCTGTGTTATTTTCTTGCAGTACCATGTGTTCTTCTGTTTCTGTTTTATGTTCTTTCTGATGTCCTGTTATCTCCCACTGGATCTGAAGGCAGACGAGTCTCAGAGAGAAGCACAGGCCTTGGAAGAAACTGGATGTCTCGTTCTACTTCCCTCCCGAGCCACCACTCGCCATTTATTCCATTGCATGCCCAGAAACAATGCTAAAAATAAAGGCAGAGATGCTATCTTCTCTCTCCAGAATCAACTGATAGCAAGCAAAGCCTAAGCACAAGAGTAACCATCGTTTGTTGTCGTGCTAACATACAACCAATCATCTATGACATAGATTTAGCACTTTTTCATGTGCAGAGGGTCTGGAAAAGCCAGGAAATTAAATAGCTGGAAAAGTAAGGAGATGTACTAAGGATTTAAATCAGATACATAACATTTGATCAGGCATTACTGGGGAAGTAAGATTTGATGTGTAAACAATAAAAAGTAGTACTGCAACTGAGTACTTAATGGCTCTTTTGTTTCAAACAGATACACATACTTTCTTCACCCAGCAGCTTAGTGTCATCCAGATACGTGGGTCTGCAGGTCCCAGAATTCCTCTGGCCTTGATGGCTGGGAATTCTGGAAGTTTTCAACCCAGTACAACTAAGAGCACCACACTGAGAAAGGCTGATCTAACAAATTGTTCAGTTTCATATATATTGGGGGGGGGGGGAGTTCTTAAAGTACTTCATAAGAGGTGATGCCAGAATGAATTCTGGTGATGAGAAACTGTTGGTAGGATGTCTACAGGAGGATGTTCAAAAAGTCAAGATGGCAACTGTGACCACTTAATAGAAGCCCTACCCCATTTTTATGAGAATTGCACCACCATCTTGACTTTTCTTGACTACCTCTGCAGACACCCTTGACTATTGCTCAGCAGAAATTCTGAAAAACTTTGAGAAAACTTAAAGAAAAATATCACTGTACTTTGGAAGGGAAATTGCAAAAAAACTAGCAGTCCCTCTCTGGAACACCCTCCATTGGACTGTAGTCAAGTGTAGGCATCATACAGTCTTCAACCATTTCTGGCTGGTGGGCAATCCAGGATTTTGAGAGCATCTGATGAGCACCTCTCAAAAAATGTCTCACCATGGGTTGGGTCTTGCTATTCACAAAACAGCTGCAACAGGACAGTTGGCTTCCTGCTGTTCTTCCTCACCTTCATCCATGGCCTCCTTATCACTCTGGCTTCCCTTATCTCCCCACCCCAGACAGATGGGCAGACTTCCAAAGTGCTGGACTGCATCCATCCCGCATTTTCATTTTCTGTGGATGTGTCCCTTTCAGAGCCCAGAGGTATTACTGGAAATGAAAATGATGCTAGGAATGGATGCCATCTCTGGAATGCTTTTCCATGGCAGCAAACTCAAGTTTGCTGTACTGGACAAGTAGTTTCCATTCCCATCTTAAATGTTTTCTTTACCTCAACTTTTCAAACCTTTCAGATACCGTGGGTCACTTCCGCAGTAGTGCTTTATAGCAGCTTCATTTCCTCTTGGTTGCATCATTTAGCTATTCCAACTTCACCCTATTCCAACTTCCTATTTTATTATTTGATATATATATATAGAGAGAGAGAGAGAACATGGGAGGGAAGAATTCACAGACTCTTTGGCAGCCATGCTGGGGAACCTAAGGGTACAGCATCCTATCCAGATTTTATGCAATCTCCTAATTTCAATGTCTGCCTGAAGAAGCTGCAGTGTGGCAAGTGGAAAGATTCCATTCAGTGGGTACAACCAAATGGTAATCTGGACAAAGTCCTCCACAGTGTAACAGGGACTCAGATAAAACTGAGCCCTGTGTGTATTTAACTTCTTAGCTGTCTACTGTGAAGGTCATTGTGACCTGCCATTCTACCCTTTCCAGCATCCTCTTCTATCAACACTTTTTGGAGCTGCTTTGTTAAATCCTACAGACTCACTCTGTGGCTGTGATTCAGCTGGGGCTGCTCACCACTAGCCACATTGGTGAACAGAATGGTGAGTGTAACTTTGACTCTGACATTTGGAAATTGTGATTGCTCCTATTATGCAATTTATGTACTTTTACATCAGTTCTCCACACTGGGATACTTAGGAAATCCAACACAAAGGATGCATGTTTGGGAAACATTTCTGAAATGCATGTTCACATTTTCCATGGTCACAAACCCAGATTTGCGACCCTGGCTATCCTGGACAAGGAGTTGCCATCAGTCCTAGTTTTCTGATCTACCTCAACCTTCCAGATCATTCAACCTAACCAAATATTATGAAATTTCTGCACTAGTGATTTAGAGTATTGCCACAGCCTCTTTGTAGCACATTTGGGTATAGCTGAAATGAAGTAAAGCCTTGCTGCATTATGATTATTTGGGCAGAGCAATGATTGGCTGACTCTAGAACATGCTATAATTCAGTAGTGTGGAAATTACCTTGGATCACAGTTCCAAGAATTGGCATCTAACCATGCTTTCTGTGTGTTGTAGAAACAAGGTTCCTAGAGAACACCACTGAAGGGAAAGCTGGTATATGCATTGAATTCTACCCAGACAGATTTATTTTGTTCCTACTGTAAGAAAAGTCTTGGAGTCTGAGAAAGAAAAGAGAGTATTTCAAAACATGACAAATGGAGAGCAGATGGGGATTTCAATTTTATCTGGTCAAAGAACTGTTAGTCCTTCAATTCAGCAAACCGGGGGGGGGGGGGGGGGT